GGTAGGAGGGAGGGAGGGTAGGAGGGAGGGAGGGAGGGTGGGTAGGAGGGAGGGTGGGTAGGAGGGAGGGTGGGAGGGAGGGTGGGAGGAGGGAAGGAGGGAGGGAGGGAGGGAGAGAGGAAGAAAGTGCGAGAAGAGAGAGGCTAAGGGAATGAGGGAGGGAAGGAAGGAGAGAGGGAGGGAGGGAGGAAGGGAGGGAGGGAGGGTGGGAAGGAAAGAGGGAGGGAGGGAAGAAACGAAGGAGGGAAGTAGGGAAGGAGGGAGAGAGGAAGAAAGTGCGAGAAGAGAGTAACTAAGGGAATGAGGGAGGGAAGGAAGGAAAGAGAGAGAGAGGGAGAGGGAGAGGAGAGTGAGATAAAGAAAGAGAGACAAGATATAGACCGAAAGTGAATGGGCGTGTGAGTGAGAGCGATAATGAAAGGGGGAGAAGGGGAGACAGAGAGAGAGGGGGGGGGGGGGTGAGTGAGTGAGTGATGGAGAGACCTCTAGTGAAAGAAACTGCGAGTTGGAAGCTGCATACATCAAAATCAGAATCAAGGTCAGAGGTCCTCGCTTGCTCTCATAAAATTAATAGATAAATACATAGCTATATTAAATATAAAAGGATAGAAAAGAAAGAAAAAAATACACACACACAAACATATATATATTTATGTGTGTGTGTGTGTGTGTGTGTGTGTGTGTGTGTGTGTGTGTGTGCTGATGTGTGTGTGTGCTGATGTGTGTGTGTGCTGATGTGTGTGTGTGCTGATGTGTGTGTGTGCTGATGTGTGTGTGTGTGCTGATGTGTGTGTGTGTGTGTGTGTGCTGATGTGTGTGTGTGTGCTGATGTGTGTGTGTGCTGATGTGTGTGTGTGTGTGTGTGCTGATGTGTGTGTGTGCTGATGTGTGTGTGTGCTGGTGTGTGTGTGTGCTGATGTGTGTGTGTGCTGATGTGTGTGTGTGCTGATGTGTGTGTGTGCTGATGTGTGTGTGTGTGTGTGTTGATGTGTGTGTGTGTGTGTGTGTGTGTGTGTGTGTTCGTGTGTGTGTGTGTGTGCTGATGTGTGTGTGTGTGTGTGCTGATGTGTGTGTGTGTGTGCTGATGTGTGTGTGTGTGCTGATGTGTGTGTGTGTGTATGTGTGTGTGTGTATGCTGATGTGTTTGTCTGTCTGTACGTTTCTACAAATAGTTTATGCATATTTCTTTCCTATATTCTTTACACATTTCCTGTTTTTCTCAATCTTGCCAAAGTCGTCGATATGCAGCAGGAGAAGCTGGGGGGAGGGGGAGGAGGGGAAGGAGGGGGAAGGAAAGGAGAACAGGAAATTGAGGGAGAAGAGAGAGAGGGGGAGAAGGGAGAGAGGGGGATGACGAGGGAAGAGGGAGATGGGTGGAGGCCATGTTGCACGGCCGTTGCAAAAGGAATGGAAAGGTCCTCTGCCGGCCGTGCAGTGCCGAGGGAGGGGGGGGGGGGAGAGACGAAGGTGGGGGGGGAAGAAGCGAAGGGGGGGGGGGGGGGAAGCAAGCCTTTCTCCGAACGACATGAACGCGTTTCAAGGTTAAGGTTGAGTGCCGAAGTTGGGGAGGGAGGAAGGGGGGGGAGGGGGAGGAGGGAGGGTAAAATGGGAGGGAAGGAGGATAGAAAGGGAAGGAGAGGAGGGAGGGAAGGAGAGGAAGAGGAAGGAGAGGAGGAGGGAAGAAGAGAAGGAAGGAGAGAGAGAGGAAGGGAGGAGGAGGAAGAGAAGGAGGAGGAGAAGGAAGAGGAAGAGGAAGAGGAGGGAGAGAATGAGGGTAAAAAGGGAAGAAAAGGTAGGGAAGCATGGAGGAAGAGAGGGATGGAGGAAGGAAGGAATGGAGGGAGGAAAGAAAGGGAGGAATAGAGGAAAGAAATAAAGGAGGGAGGATAGAAAGGGAGGGAGGGAGAGGAAAGAAGAGAAGAGAGAGAGAGAGAGAGAGAGAGAGAGAGAGAGAGAGAGAGAGAGAGAGAGAGAGGGGGGGGGGAGGAAGGAGGGAGAAGAGGGGAAGGGAGAGAGGGAGGGGGGGTGGAAGAAAAGGTGTAAATACGTAGGGGAGGGAGAGTGGAAGAAAGATAAAAGGGGAATGAAGGGGTATGGTTGGGAGAGAGAAAGGAAGGAGAAAGGGAAGGAGGAGGAGGAGAGGGGTGAGGGCGAGAAAAGAGAGAAAGGGAGAAATGGAAGGCTGAAGTGAGGGGGAGAAATAGTATGAGGAATATGAACTAGGAGGAAAAGGGAATGAAGGGGGAGAAGGGGAGGTAAAGAAGGGAAGGAGAGAGAGAAGAGAGAGAAGAGAGGAGGGGAAGGGAGGCGGGCAAAGGGGGGAGGGGAGAAGGGAGAAAGGGAGGAGGAGGGAGGGGAGGAGGAGGAGGAGGAGGAGGAGAAAGGAGGGAGGGAATGGCAACCGAGAGGGAGGATCGGGCGGGGGGTGGGGGGGTGCGTGTGGGGGGGAGGCAGTGCCGCCCAGCTAGAACTGCCCTCGCGCCCCAGTCCTGTAGTCGGCGAGTCGAGCGAGGGAGCGGGCAGCCTGAGAACTCCACAATTGCACATTTGCACAACTGCTCTTTAAAGGAAAACTCGCGCGGTGTAATTTTTTCGCGAGTTTCCTTGTCGAAGGAGAGAAAGTAAAAGATATCGGTCTCTCCCCCCTACCCCGTACACCCGCCTCTCCCTCCGCAATGCATGTGCCATGACGTCACACGACTCTATCATGTAGAATCAGTGAGAGCGAGACTCGTTCGATTGTGCTCCGTGTACAGCGTCTTGGTTTCAGTGCTTCTGCGAGTGCGACCCCCCCCCTCCCCCCCGCGTGTACACCGAAGGACTTCCACGTGATTCTGCTGTCCTGATTCCCCGTCGCTCGCCGCCCCCTCGTCCTTCTCTCTTCCTAGCCAGCGCGAAGGAGAAACTACCGACAGAGAAGTGGCCACGAGGAGATTTAAATGTGTTGGACGTGCGAGAGTGTGTGTGCGCGCGCGCGTGTTGAGTAACAGTGCAAGCAGCGCCAGCGGAATCTCCAAGGAGGAGAGGCGATCGGAATCTCTATGAACTGCCTGCCACGCCTGGGCCTCGTCTCAGAGCGCACGTCCTCAGCGCAAGCAGGTAAGGCTACTGCTTTCATTGGGCAGAAGGTGTAACAGCAGAAGCGCGCCGTGTCGCTACACAAGGCCGCTGCAGCGAAAGCAGTGCGCAATGCACTCGAGAGAAAACTGTAAACAAGAACAGCATGCCAGGATAAGAAGTAAGGAATGTCTGAACCCTGACATTCAGTCTCGCCAACTGCCTGTCATGTGCCTCGAGTGAGTGACATTTTAGCACACGCCGTCGCTCCGTGCTCAGGAAAAGGGGGAAAATGCGCAACAATATCCCGATCTGGATGGAATGATCGACTCAGGTAGTAAAAACGAGTCATTTTGCAGTTGTTGCTCCGTTCGGCCCGCCCGTCCGCCCGAGGTGATGATCCGGGAGGCGCCCAAGGGGGAAAGTCGCCTCCCGCTACATAGGATTTTCGACCATGTGTCTCTTGCTTTGTAGGTCACTCCAAGAGGCAAGTGATTTGCGTCTGGGTTTTCCTTGTTCTGATACCAGCGTCGCGACCAAGTGTTACTAGGAAATAAAAGTGTCTTTACGCGATTAGCCGTATTTACTGAAGCCATGAGAATAACAGGAGGTAATGTTTACGTCTCTATTAATTCAGCAGCGGCCCGAGTGTCGCTGGGAATCGATTAGCGTTTGTTTTGTGACGTCAGCGCGGCCAGGGCATTGGAGTCACTGCAGAGACAGCGCGCCAGGCATTTCTCGCGTCGCCGTGGATTTAAATCGTCTTAAAACACGCTGTAAGTCATTAACGTCGAGCCCCCGTTCGTTCCTTGTTTATAATTATATGAAAGGGATTGGAAAAGTGACTATAACTATTTGAAACAAGGCGACGAAACGTGTGCGTATGAGCCGACGAAACTGCGTGTGTGTGTGAGAGAGAGGGAGAAAGAGCAGGAAAAAAGCTCTGACGAAGGCAGAGGAAATGCTATACCGATATTAAGACCATTCAGAGAGGGAAAACGAAAGATAAACAGAGATACAGCAAGGGAGAGAGTAAGATAATACTTGGAAAAAAAAATGAACGATGTAAAGTGACAGAGCTCTCCACGAGGCACCCGCGGGCGAGCGAAACTAGCTAGAGTAGCATGACTCTCTCTCTCTATCTCTCTATCTCTCTATCTCTCTATCTCTCTCTCTCTCTCTCTCCTTTTCTCCCTCTCTCTCCTCCTCTTCTCTCTCTCTCCCCTTCTCTGTTTTCTTTTCCTACTTTTTCAAGAAACATGACAAAAGAAATAAGCGCAAATTCAAGCTTACTGTTCCTGGTTGAGTTTCAGCGACTAGAATGTGTTTGTTGGTGACGATGCGGAGCCATAGAAAACGAGATGTGGTAACATGTTACACAAGAAACGAGTGAAAATGGAATGTTGGTTTAGGGTTTATATAACCACTGTGTCTTACATGTATAACTGATTCTTGATTAGAGATATTTTCGCTTTTATTCCACTATTCCAATGCGAGGGTTATTTTCTGATATTTTGCTGATTTTTTTTGAGGGGGTTGTTCAATGCCCATCGGATATTAAGGAAGTACACATTGGCATATCATTTTTTAAAATTATATTCTTCGTCATATTTTACTTCTAGACTCGCACGTCATTTTCATCCGCTGTGACTAACGCAACCAGGCAGAATATTTTTCGAACATATACCTGTATTTACGCAACTTACCTGAGGAGGGGATACATTCGAGGAAAACAACAACAATAACAACAACAACCACAACAACATCCATAAGAACATCCATAATAACATCCATAACAACAACAACAACCACAACAACATCCACAACAACAACAACAACCACAACAACAACAACCACAACCACAACAACAACAACAACAACCACAACAACAACAACCACAACAACAACAACCACAACAACAACAACAACCACAACAGCAACCACAACAACAACCACAACAACAACCACAACAACAACCACAACAACAACAACAACAACAACAACAACAACAACAACAACAACAACCACAACAACAACCACAACCACAACCATAACGGAACTGAAGCTGTTTCCTTTATAACGTGTCGCTTGTAGTTTAGTGAATTCTGAAGCGATTGCGGTTTGATATCAATCCTAGCAATGGCGTCTGGTTTCTGATTCTGTTTTGCTGTCTTTGGAATGATTCCAGCCTGTTGGTATGTCGACGTGTATTTTTCTACATCTCACTCCTCCATCTTTAACTATCTAGCTAGATCCCTGTCTGTCTGTGTGTATATATCTGTCAATCTAACTATATCTTGTCTATTCTCTGCCTGTCTGTCTCTGTCTCTCTGTCTCTCTGTCTCTCTGTCACTCTGTCTCTCTGTCTCTCTGTCTCTCTCTCTCTCTCTCTCTCTCTCTCTCTCTCTCTCTCTCTCTCTCTCTCTCTCTCTCTCTCTCTCTCTCTCTCTCTCTCTCTCTTATTTATTGATTTTTCATCATATTTCATATTCGCTACTCATTCTGAGTCAAAGTCGACATGTAATAAAGCTGCACAGAATTCGGGGCACCAGTAGATGTACTACCCCCCCCCTTCCCCCTCTCCCTTTCCCCCCCTTCTCCCCTTTCCCCCTCCCCTCCTCTCCCCCTTTTCCCCTCCCCACTCTCCCCCTTTCCCCTCCCCACTTCCCCCCTTTCCCCCTTCCCCCCCCTCCCCTCTTCACCTCTTCCCTCCTCCCCATCCCCTCCTTTCCCCCTCTCCCCCCTTCCCTCCTTTACCCCTTCCCCCCCTTCCCCCTCCCCTCCCCCCATACACTCCCTTTACTCAGAGCATCTGTAAGGAAGGGTGTACTGAGCTTCCTCACTCGCTGGTCTGTCCCTGACGGTCACACTAGAATGCTTTAAGTGGGATTTTTGCGGTTTGTTTTGTTTGTTGAATGCTATATGTGCTTTAGGTATGGGGTTTGTCTTGTGTTTGTGTGTGTGTGTGTTGTATTTTGGGTCGGTTTGTGGCATTGGAGCGATTTTTACTTTGTGTGTTGTATTTTAAGAGATTTTTTTGTTGTTGTTGTTGTAAAGATTTTCGATGTTAAGGTTGGTTTGTGTATGTGTTTTAGGTGATTATGTTAAATCGTGGGATGTTATGTAGCATGCTGTTTCGTTTAGGTTTTAGCTTTCATTTTGTAACGTTTCTATTCTGTAACATTTTGGCTTCCTTTTCCTTGGTGGTTTGTCGTCACTTATTCTGAAAATAACAGCCGAATAAGGGGTTTAGGGTTGATGTAACCTCTGAAAATTCTTTGAAAATATGAGTGTCAGAGGAAAGGCTTACAAAAGTAGTCGTTTTTATTATATATATTTATTTTGGCTTCGGGAAATCATCTTATATAAAGTTTTGCCGTTTGGGCCTCGCGAGATAAACCGTAGCCTTTTTTTAAGCAGTTATTTGGTTGTTGTCATTCTGACGTTAAGAAAAAAAGTAAAATAGAGATTCATAACAAAGCGATCTGAATTTCTAACGACTGATGGAACAATGAAAACAAATATACAATAAAGAATGAAAGAAAGAAAAACAGGGAGAGTCGCAACTGTGAAACGACAAATAAACATGAGGAATGATGAATGTGACATGAGAAGAAATAGAGAACAAGGTATCCGTGAACAGGTAGACCCCAAGTCAATTTGAGAAAAATCCTAGTTAGCAACTGCCGAGCTAGACCCCGCCTTCATAGCTTCTATTCGTTGCAATTATTTTTTCTTTTTTTCGTAGTTTCTTTTTCGATACTTTTTTTTTTACCATTGTCATTACTAAACAATTTTCAGAGGAAATGCACTGAAAATAAACACTTACCTTAAGATTTTGCACATTAGTGACTCTCTCAAAAAGGGGGCGGAGCTAATGACGTCACCAGGTTTAGCAAATAGAAGAGTGGACTAAGATACCAGATATAACTAGATTCATAATTATTTGTATAATTTACAAATTATTATCATTATACTTACCAGAAGTAAAATCTAAATCCCCCTCTTTTTGTTTATGATAACGAAGAGTTCCTTATCATTAACAGCCGTCAGAAAAGTCGGTTTCATCTAAATGGAAGTGGTTTACCTGGCTATGTGTCCGTTTGATAGATAAGAAAGCAAAACATTGAGATAACTGTTTGTAACCAAGGACGAGCGAGCTGTCCATCCGGGTCTTTTGAACAACGAGTTTCAAGCAGGTTTCTCCTCGGTGGTGAACGTGCCATAGAAGATAGGGTTGAGCGAGTTCATTTGAATTCATGAGATAGTCTGCCATAGATTAAGGCAGAAAATAAGTAAATAAACGTACTGCCATTTTAATAAACTGGTTAGTCTGTTACTATATTTTTTTTTCTTTCTTTCTTTTTTTTTGGTTGATTGGTTTATATTGTATTTCTTAATGTGTATGTGCTTTTATTTATTGATTCATGATGATAATAGATTAAAAAAGGCAAGTATGAGAGTAAATAATTTGCTTATACATATATATCATTAAAAATGCGTTCGTTTTCGTAAATTCGTTGGCAAGTTGAATATTTTTTTTTATTATTGTTGTCTCTTGTTCTACCTTAGCTATATTTTTATGTTTGGTTGAATAATGCTCTTCGTGTTTGGTTTGAAAATATAAAACAAATTTGGGCGTCGTGTTCTCATTTTTCAGTGGATGTATTTTGCAATATTTTCGAAAAACCCTTCCATTTGTGTTGTATTCACGTATCTGATTTATTTATGCGCATCCTAAATTTGCACAGTCGACTAAGAGTTTCTTCATTTAACAAGGAAAATATGGTATCACTTATTCACTATCGCTGCGGTTTCTCGTTGTCTCCATTTATGAAAGTTTTCCTAATGCTGTTTCCGGCGCTTGTTGGTCCTCGTCTGTTTATTTTCTGAAAAATGGTGGCGGCCAGACCGACGTGTGTGTGTGTGTGTGTGTGTGTGTGTGTGTGTGTGTGTGTGTGTGTGTGTGTGTGTGTGTGTGTGTGTGTGTGTGTGTGTGTGTGTGTGTGTGTGTACGTGTAGTTGTACGTGTATGTGCACGT